ATACCTTTAAATTTTATAAGAGGTCAATTCACTCTAATTTTTAAGCAAACGGAGCTACATGTGTTCTGCTGAACGTAAGATTTACTATATAATGCACATGTAAGACAGACAACACATGCGGGTATCACGTCCTCTTAACATACATTTATTAGACATTTCATCCAATATCGTTAAAATCATAATTTATTAGAAATTACTTCAACTTGTTACATACTTTTAATTTATAATATCAATTTAAAAAATAAACATAATTAGGTCAATTAATAAGTATTAAGTATATCTAGGGAATAAGGTTGATTATACCCTTAAAAATGTGACGTTTACATTTTTATTTTTTTTTAGAGGTGGGAGAGGCGTCAAATATTGTTCAAGCGCGTCATTAATGGTTAAGATAGCACTGCGGGATAGACTATAATAATAATTTTGATAAATATTTATAGGTATGAGTTAAGGTAATATTTAAGAAAATATTGTAAAGTTCGTTGTACATGCAYATCATATTACATAGCATACAAATAAGAACTATAGAAATATTAGATGTCTATACAAAAGTAATGTATAAGTAATATTTTTAGAAATCAACGACATAAAATACGTGTAACGTTTTATTGGTTCTAGATAAGTTATTAGAACCATTTGATCTGACGAAAATATCTTGGTTTGGATATAAATATTTAGTGCCTATTTTAAATTCTCGATCAGAAATTTCATTTACTTTGATAATAGCAAAGAACAAGATAATAGTTATTCATTTTATACACTATTTAAGATCTTAAATCGTGATTTTATAGACATTAGACAGAAATTATTTTTTATTATTTACAGAAATCTGTGATTCATTTAGATGACTAACATGTTTGTGCACAAAACACAAATATACAGTTGGTATTGTACTAATATTGCTAATATAGTACCACAGAATAGATAAAATTGAAAATTTAATCTATTCTATGTTATCACTAAGTTTTTTGTATTATCATTTACTATTTGCTTCAAGCTCAACACGCGTAGTTTAGTTTTCTATTTAAAAATGAAAAATCAAGATGGTCTTATTTCTATTCGTCATGTCATAAGTTTTCAATCACTTGGTTTTACACAATTTCAAATATATTTTTGTATATTAATATTTTAATAATTAAAATGAAAAATAAAAAACTGAATGTAAATAATTTTCATGTTATTAATTATTATAATGCATCAAAAATATTACTTGTATCGGTGTGTCTTATAGGGTCTTCAAATTGATGCAGTGTCATATCGATCCAAGGTTTGGCGTCTTGCAGTTTACAGTCGAATATCTATTGTGATTTTGCAGTATGTCTTCAATGTGCTGATTCCAGATCATAATGCTCAAGGAGTGTTCATATCGCCAGGCATTCATGACAAAGATGATACTAGTATTGGCTGTATCATAACTGATATCCTTGGTGGTTTCCTTCGTTGGGACGCTCAGTATTTCTATCATATCTATCGATATGGTTATACTTATGAAAATACATTGGCTTTTTTCCCGCTATATTCCAATGTCTTACGGTTATTTACTGCAATCTTTCCAGGGCATTCAAACACTATGTTTCTCATTGTAGGGGTCTTCTTCAACAACATCATTTTTGTTTTTACTGCATTGGTGTTATTTGATTTGACTTTACACATATATAAAAACYCTAAAAAAGCTTATAATTCAACAGTCCTGTTTTGTTTCAACCCTGCTAGTGTTTTCTTTTCAGCTCCTTATTCAGAATCACTGTTTGCGTTTACAACGTTTTATGGTATGTATCATAATGCTTATGAAAATATTTGGAAGTCATCGTTTTTTTTCTGTTTATCGGTGTTGAACCGGTCCAATGGACTACTAAATGTCGGATTTTTATTTTATACTATAATTGAATCGGCCTTCAAGAAAAGAAAAATATCATTCAAAAGCCTTATTGGTGTATGTTTTGTTTTTGCATGTTTCGGTTTGTTCCAAATCTATGGATATTATAAATTCTGCACTCTGCAAGAACATACATTGGATCCCAAAATTATTGAATATGCTATTACAAATAACCTAATAACACCAAACAATATTAGTGTGCCGATGTGGTGTGGTAAGCGCTTACCATACTCTTATGTTCAAGAAAAATATTGGAAAAATATGGGATTTTTAAATTATTTTCAATTCAAACAGATTCCAAATTTTTTATTGGCCTCACCTTGTGTTGTTTTACTATTAAAGTTTGGTTTTGAATATTTTCGTAGTAATAATATAATTTATTTGGGTCTTAGAAATCAAGATAAACAAGATTTTGTATATGTTGTCCATTCTACATTTTTAACCCTTTTTTGTTTGTTTTGTATACATGTTCAAGTAACCACTAGAATGTTAGCATCTTCAAGTCCAGTGTTTTATTGGGCTTGCGCAAATTATTTCAAGTTACCTCTTAATTTCAATAAGATTACCTACAACCTTATAAATTATGATTTTAAATCTAAATTGGTAGCATTGTACTTTTTTGCATATTTTATTGTCGGCACAGCGCTTTTTGTGAATTTTTTACCATTCACTTAAT